CCATATAGTAATTTTTTAGAGTATAACATACCTTCCTAAATTGTACCTGCAAATACTTTGTTAAGTGATGGGGGTTAGGGGCGTTGTTTATGAGACCTAACAGACCTAATCTTAAATGTGTCAAGTTTTGGATCCTAATTCAAACAATCCACCTGCAAAATGGTCACTAAATGTTTGCAAGTTTACTGGATAGTTACAAGTGTTTTAAAGAATAACACTTGTATTCTTTTTTTGGTTTCTGAATAAGAATCGCAGTTTCTAATGTGTTTTCTAATGGGTACGCAGTGTATCTTTTAAAAAGGAGAAACAAGAAGGATGCTTTTGGAAGGTGAACAATTATGAATGAAACAAATGTTTGTCAAAGGTTTTGACACATAGCTGACTAAATGGTGTTTTCTGGGCTGCCTTTAATACAAAGGTGTGGGGGGGTGGATTACTCAGTAGGGTCTACATGCGAGTTTATCACCTTATGGATGTTATTGTTTCTTTCTCCTGCCACTTCTTTCCAACGAGATAGACACTTTCAGATGAAGAATGAGGCTCCAAGAGAGCCAGGGCTTTCCCAGTTCCCACAGGAGGCAATCAAGAGGACCACGGTGGTCACTGGTCCTTCCATGCCCCTGTTCCATTCCAAGGCTAATGCAGAAGCAGGGATAGAGTGCACAGCCACCCTGCCTGCCTCCCCTGCAGCTGCCTTCCCCTTCGTGCTGCTAGTGTGCCAGTGTGTCTCCCAGTCACTTTCTGGGACAGTCAGAGCATTAGACGATTGCTGTCTATATCCTCCTGCAAATGGACAATGCCTTTAAAATACGGTCCAGATCCCACGTTATCTGAGAACTGATTGAAACATCAAAGGAAAAAGAGACGCAGGAACGCGTTATTGGCTGGTCTCCAGTCACATCCTGCTTCCTGTTGCTAATGATTGATCCTGCCTGAATTAATTAAAGTTCCCCCCTTTCTCTCAGGCCAGCAAGACAAGGCAGTAACACTGGCCCGAGAAACAAACTTTATTTTGTTATCATCTATCCACTGTAATCTAAGTTCTTACTAGAAGAGGACAAAGCGATTAGACAACCTTCCAAGGACCCTTCCTGACTAAGCTTCTGGGATCTGAGAGCCCATGACTCAGCGTAACCCAGACTAAATAAGAAATAATGGGAAGAAGTACTTTATTAACATAGGGAATGCAAGCCACTAAGGGAGCTGGGGCGGTGGTGGCTATCGGAGATGCATCCCAAGCTAGGAACTTCCTTAGTGACCAAAAGCCAAAAGCTTGCCATTCTTGGAAACAACCTGTCCTTCCCTGCTTACCAAGCATTTTCCATCCAGATTATAGAAATACTGGGTTTCTTTTCACTTTCCCCTTTCCTTACCTCCCCCAACCCTGCAGGAAACCCTCATTACTTCAGTATTTAGAAGCATGGTCTTTTCTCCCATTGTGACTTACCAGGTCACTACTAACATTTGTTCTTCCCCATTCCCGTGGAAAGCAGTGAAAAGTACCAGGCTGACAATGGGCAGACCTGTCTCCAGCTACTATCAATTATTGCAGAACTTTTTCAGAAAAAGATTTATCAAGAGCCTATTATGAGCTGGGTGTTGGTGGCGCGCGCCTTTAATCCCAGCACTTGGGAGGCAGAAGCAGGCGGAGCTCTGTGAGTTCGAGGCCAGCCTGGTCTACAAGAGCTAGTTCCAGGACAGCCTCCAAAGCCACAGAGAAACCCTGTCTCGAAAAACCAAAAAAAATAAAAATAAAAATAAAAAATAAAAAAGATCCTATTACGTACCAAATGCTGATTATCTTTTTAAAATTCTTTTAGACAAAGAAAGAAAAAGAATCTTGCTTTAAGCAAATATCTTCAGTTCTCAGAGTCAGGAGTTAGGGTGAGCCCAGGTGTTATTAATCTGGTCTCTAATACTACAGCCAATCACCTGAGACACCCAGTTTTGCAGGATCTGCAGGTTTTGGAGCATGGCCCTTGTATCAACTTAGAGCTAGTGAGGACCACATTACAGATTGTATAATGTAAGAGGAAGCAACCATGTGGGGTGAGTAGAGGGGTCCCACAAGAAACATCCACTAAACCCTACTGTGGTTTGTATCTTGAATGTCTCCACAAAGATGCGAAGATCCATGTGAGAAGCTTGCACTGCAGGAAGTGCTAATGGAAGGTGGTGGAATCTCTAAGAGGCAGGACCTAGAGAGCCACTGGTGGTGTGTCCTCACAGTGGGGGGTGAGATCTCCACCCTTCCATCTTCTTCTTCGTTACATGGGAATGAGGTGAGTGGTCTTGGTCTGCCATGCACTCTATCTTGTAACAGGTCCAAAAGCAGTGCAGCTAGTTGACTACGGATTGGAACCTCCAAAACCAGGAGCCAAAGAAAATTCTTTTCTCAAGCCGGGCATTGGTGGCACATGCCTTTAATCCCAGCACTCAGGAGGCAAAGTTAGGCAGATCTCTGTGAGTTCGAGGCCAGCCTGGTCTACAGAGCTAGTTCCAGGACAGCCTCCAAAACAATACAGAGAAACCCTGTCTCAAAAAACCAAAAAAGAAAAAAGAAAAGAAAAACCTTTTCTCTTTGTAAGTTGATTATCTCAGGCAGGTGTTTTGTTATAGTGATGGGAAACTGCCTACCACAGCCATACGTCTTAAATATCCCATGGCACTGTTAAGACAGTCTCCAACATATTCATCCTTCAGAGATAAACCAAATCCAAATTATGCAATAGTGAATAAGGTATGCTATCGAGTGCCAAATATGGTTGAAAACTTGGAGGTTTCCTTGTCTGTTACTTGGTACAGATTGCATTAACTTTGGCCAAACTTCCTGTCCCCTTTGACATTCATGTCTGTATGTGCAGCCTGTTTCCTTGGCCTTGAAGGCATTCTTCACATCCCTTTCTCCTACCTAGACCTGCCTGACTCTTCTCTCCTCTAAGGTTAGTTTAAGCATCATTTTCTTAACTCCCTGAAGTCCTCTCCCACAGTCAAAAGCTCTGAGGCCCAACCAGTGCCCACTTTGTACTTCTAGCACCCTGTATTTATCTTCTCTACTGACTACAGCACAGGTAATTTGCATCCTCATTTACCTTCCTACATGGGGACACTGTCCTGTGAGCAAGGTATGGCTCGTCATGTAGATTTCTAAGGGATGTGTACAGGCTTGAAATACCTGGAATTGTTTCATCAGGAAGAATCCGCAATTTCTCAGTGACCTCCCCCAACATTGCTAGCTTACTGTATTCTTAACATTATGAATTCTGTAAAATGCTCAATTATGTCACTAGCCTATCCATCGTAGTGGGCTCCCAATGTATACATTTCCAGCGAGACTAACTAGCACTAATCTCCAACTAGAAATAAAGTGAATAAATAATAAATGTAAACATAAATAAATTACAATGTTGATAATGAATCTAATACATGACAGTAATAGAAATCACTGCAAGAACCCCATCATTGTATCTTGACAAACACTGAACAAGACCGAATAACAATGTCAAGACACCCAAACTCCTGCAGACTGACATGGTAGTGGCATCAACTGTTCTCCAGGGTAATGAAGTAAGATTGCTCAACTGTAAATTCCAGGTGGGTAAAAGCATCCATCTGTGCTGTGCATGGTCAATGTGCGACTCTCACAATAGAACAGCAAGATGCATCATCTGCTTTTCAAAGAAGTCGGGCTGCCTCTCGGCTCTCTGTGTGCAGCCTATTTCTGGAGCTTTCTATAGAGGAGGTGAGCGGGAGCAAAACAACCAATAATTTGGAGCCCTGGAATCCACCTTCCTCACCCTGGCCCAATGAATAATGGACTACTGAGTTACTAGCTAGCTACTACACACTCCATGGCTCCTGGTTTCTCCTGTGTGCTCATCAGCTTAAAATATCTGTGCTTTTGATTCCAGGGAATATGCTGTGTTGTCTTATCTTTTAAGAAAAACACTTCAAATTTATCACTGTGATGGAAACCATCTAATAAAGTGGGGAGTTTTAAAAGGGTAAAAGTCCTTGATGGCGCACTAAGCAATACGACCGTCTCAGACAAGCATCACCACTGCCCTTAGGGAGAGAAGTTGTACAAGAGTCGCTTTTACTTTCTTTGATGATTGAGGGTCAATGTAAATTTAACAAGCCCCATTCCCTAAGAGAGCAGAACCCTTCTATTCACCCAGATTGCATAGACTGTTGGGTTAAGATGTTTCTAACAAGATGTTTATTTTAGATGTAGACTTCTTTGCAGACTATAGCACAGTCTGGGCATAACCATGTGTTTAAGAACTCTAGATAATAACAAACCTTGTATCCCAGGAGCTTTCTTTTGCCAGCAATCCAGCTACTTCTACCTAATGAAGTTAGGTAACTGGGAAGAAAGCGAAGCTCCCTCTGCCCCACTGCAAACCTGCATGCAGAGCCTGCAGCCCCGATCTCTAGACATGAATAAAGGTCATTCTTTCCATAGTTCTATAGTGTCAGACATTCTGAGCACCACACACACACACACACACACACACACACACACACACACACACACACACACAAGAGCACTTACACAGTCCCCCAAACCAGCCTGTGAGGTAGACATGCTTCCTATCCCCACTTTATAGACACAGAAAGTGAGAGGTTAAGAAACTGAACAAAGTAATAAGCTGGAATTCAAAACCAGATGATTTTATGCTTCAGTGTTAGAAGCTACCTTTTACACACACACACACACAGACAGACAGAGAGAGAGAGAGAGAGAGAGAGAGAGAGAGAGAGAGAGAGAGAGAGAGAGAGGAAACCCTGTGTACTAATTGACACATGAATTATCTCCAGTTGGATCTCCAGCTCAGATCTTTCCATATCTCTGGACTGCTACAGATGAGACAACACCAAGTCTATCACTAAATAGCTGTTTCATCCCTGTGACCTCATCCCAGGGCGCTCCGGGCATCCTCCCTTGAGTAAAGGCTTACCACACTTTATGTCTTACGCTGAAGAAGCTCGGTTCTCACCTTTCCAGGCATGAGTGCGGCAGCGCTGCCAGTCCCTTACACATTTTGACAAATGGCTTAGGTCCTCAGCCTTGAGCACGAACTTTTCAACAGCTGGGTGGATGTCTGGAAACTTCAACACAGTCTGGGACAGCCTTTCCCGCTGAGAAATATATACAGGCTCTCTCACAGCTCTGTGGCTCTGAGGACCAATCGGGAGCTCTGGTGAAATTGTGGGCTGGAGCACAGAGGCAATTTGCCTGAGGTGGGGGCTGGGAGGCTTCCCTGGCTACAGGCACTTCTGGGGCTGGCTTCTGATTGCTTGTGTCACAACAGTCTGTTATTTGTTTAGTCAGGGCTGAGTTGGACCCTAAATTGTGATAAGGCCATTAGTGCTTGAAGTCTGCAATCCCAGGTCAGCCAGAAGAGTGATGTGGGTTCTGGGCTGCCAAGAATTCTGGGATATGTCACTGAGCCCGCCTTTCTCTCACAGTGGAAGAAACCGTGCTTCTTTTCATGGTGGAGAGAATTTGTACTTAAGGATCCCATGCACTTCGATGCATGTTAGGAATTTGGAGCTAAAAGGACCAACCCTGGGCTCTGCAGGCACAGACTTTGGTACAACAGGTGCTAGCAACAGAGGCAGGCCTTCCCAGGCTGCCTCTTTCTTCAGAGTCAGTTGAGGAAGCCAAATTAATAGTGAAAAGCAGAAAAAGGAGATTTGTTCAATATGGTCCTGACAAAGAAATCCAGTGACTCTCCCCAGTCCATTTACCTGACATGAGGGCAGGGTGTAAACAGAAAGCAAGGAATTCACATAACCAAATAGTTAAGCAAAGTGTGACCCCCTGCCCACCCAAAGCCCAGCTCTTGAGTCTATCTTGCAAGTCAGTCTACTGTGAGGTCAAGGTCATTGCACAAGCTGTAACTCTTTCTCCAGGAGGCAAATTCCTGTTCTGGCTGCCCCCAGGCCTTCAGCCATTTCCTCTCCCTGGAGGAGAATGCCAGAGGGGGTCTAATTGCTTAGAGTCCTTTCTTTCAACAGTCTGGTAGCCAAACCTAGTGTCTCCTTGGAATGTCTGTTCCTGGCAAATAGGTCAGTTACATTCTGCCACTCTTTGCTTTGCCTAAACCTCAATCTTTTTATTTCCCTCAATATTTTTATTTAAATTAGAAACATGTATGCTTCACATGTCAATCCCTGCTCCCTCTCCCACCCCTCCCTCCTTGTCCCTCCACCAGTCTCCCCCACAGCCCTCTACCCAATCCCCACATCATTCCCTAGGGAAGGTGAGGCCCTCCTTGGGAAGCTCACCAGAGGCTAAAATCAAAAACACCAATGACAGTTTATGCTGGAGAGGATGTGGAAAAAGGGGAACACTCATCCATTGCTGGTGGGAGTGCAAGCTTGTACAGCCACTTTGGAAAACAGTATGGAGATTCCACAGGAAAATGGGACTCAGTCTACCACAAGACCCAGCAATTCCACCCAAAAGATGCCCATTCATACAATAAGGATGTCTGTTCCACCATGTTCATAGCAGCATTATTTGTAATAGCTAGATCCTAGAAGCAACCTAGATGCCCCACAACTGAAGAGTGGATAGAGAAAATGTGGTACATTTACATAATGGAGTTCTACTCATCAGAGAAAAGCAACGGAATCTTGAAATTTGCAGGCAAATGGATGACACTAGAAGAAACCATCCTGAGTGAGGTAACCAAGTCACAAAAAGACAAACATGGTATGTACTCACACATATATGGATTTCAGACATGGATCAGGGGAGTGTCAGCCTACAATCCCAGTGCCAGTGAGTATGGGAAACAGGGAGGTTCCCAAGAGATATGCATGATACCCCAGAGACATGGAATGAGGCAAGCTCTTCTGAGCAGATTGGGGACATCGGGGGAGGGGAGAGGGAACCAGGAAAAGGAGAGGGGGATAAGAGGAGGGGAGAAGAAGGCATGGGGGAGCAGGAAGGTTGAGTCTAGGTAAGAACAGGGGAGAGCAGGATGAGAGATACCATAATAGATGGAGTCTTTATAGGCTTGAGGAGAGAGCTGATACTAGTGAGATTTCCAGAGATCTACAAGGATAACACCAACTGGCAAACTAAGCAATAGTGGAGAGACTACATTAACAGCCCCTCCCTGATGATAAGATTGATGACTACCTTATATGCCATCCTAGAACCTTCATCCAGTGACTGATGGAAGCAGAGACAGATACCCACAGCTAAACACTGAACTGAACTCCTGGAACCCAGTGACAGAGATGGAGGAGTGATGAGCAAAGAGGTCAAAACCATGCTGGTGAAACCCACAAAGACAGCTGACTGGACAAGGAGGAGTTCTTGAATTCCAGACTGACGGCTGAGAGGCCAACAGGGGACTGATCCAGACTCTATGAATGTAGTGTTAGTGAGGAGGCCTCAGAAATCTCTGGGGCCTTGGGTAGTAGATCAGTGTTTACCATGGTGTACAAATGAACTTTGGGAGCCCATTCCACATGGAGGGATGCTCTCTCAGCCTGGACACGCGGGGAAGAGCCTTGGTCCTGCCCTGGATGAAATGATAAACCTCAATCTTGAGGTGAAATATGCCTTGTGATTGAAAGCAAAATCACTATGGGAATACAAACAGGACTCAAGGTCAAGGTTCCCATGCTGAGAAGCATTTCTTCATAACTAGTGGGTTTAGTTTCTTTCAGAAGGCTGGAACAAGCAGCTCCATCCCATTGGTTTGAAAAAGGATCTGTCTCTCCTGCTTGAGCCTCCCAAACTGTGGGATTTCAAGCAGCCATGTCTCTGCCCAGTGTGACTCCATTTCTATCCTGCCAGCTTTCTCCCTGTGTCTCTGCAGTGTTCTCTGAAGACTAATTTAAGCTTCTAGTTCCTGGCATCCACATACCCAGAGTCTGGAAAGTTATGGTGGAGGTTCCACCCAAGCCCCTCTCCCCCATCTCCCTCCAAATCCTGCTGCATCTCAGAAAGCCCACCAAATGATGGTCCCTCCCCAAGAGATGCTCAAGACCACTCCCACAGGGTATTTAAACTGTCCCCAGAGAATAGACTGTGTTGAAGCTTCCACCATTACAGGAATTCTAACAGCTATAAGGTTTTACAAAATCATGGCCAACATGAATAAGACTAGGAGTCAGGTGTTGGCGGTGCTTGCCTTTAATCCCAATACTCGGGAGGCAGAGGCAAGCAGATCTCTGTGAGTTTGAGACCAGCAGGCAGATCTCTGTGAGTTTGAGACCAGCCTGGTCTACAGAGCAAGTTCCAGCACAGGCTCCAAAGCAATACAGAGAGACCCTGTCTTGAAAACACAAACAAACAAACAAAAAGAATAAGACTAGGGGACTGGAGAGACCACTTAGCTGTTAAAAGCACTGGCTGCTCTTTCCACAGACCAGGGTTCAATTTCAGCACCCATATTGCAGCTCCTAACTGTCTGTAACTCCAGTTTCAAAGGATCTGAAACCTTCACACAGACATACAAAACATGAATGCACATGAAATAAAAATCAATAAATTACATATAAAAAGAATAAGACTAATTTAAAAATGAAATATAGAGAGCATGGTCTGTCGGCTAGGAGGAGCTCAGTGTTATGATAATGCATGGGGGGACCTTGATGAATCCATGGCAGGTGAGGGTGACCATAAGGGGCAGACAGAGCTTAAGTGAGAAGTTTTATTAGAAAGAGAAGGGGGGGGCAGAGAGAAAAGAGGTAAAGAGACACAGAAACAGAGAATACAGAAGAGAAGAGGGAGACAGGCAAAACCCTGTCTGCCCCAGAGGAACAGCAGAAAAGAGAAAGGGAAAGAGAGCATAAATGAGCAGGGGTCTTTCTTTTAAAGGGGTCCTTTGCACCTGAGTGCAGACTATGAAACCATGGAACCCTGGGCTGAGTGTATTCTGCCAGGTGCTGGTGGCATGCCAGCATAATGCCTGGATCCTTACACTCAGCATAGAATGTCCACACACGATTTGACTTTTAAACATACTCAGTTTATTCACACAAACATTCCTTATAATATCATGCTAATATAAAAGCTAAACAGACATCTGACCAAGCAATCAGGGAATGTTTGGTTGGGCAGAAAATGCTGCTGCAGGTTCCATTGTGGAATGCATCAGTAAGGATGCTCCAGAAGCTTGCAGGCTCAACCCACGGCTCCCTTGAAATCCTTCAGCTATGACAGGCCAGGAGGATGGCATTGTGGGGATCTAGAAGGTCCTTGAGAGTGTCCAACCAGCAGCTAGCTCTGACAGGCAGGCATGTGTGAGCACGGTGATGGTGCTGGAAATTCATTTTTTTTATTTTTTATTTTTTTATTTTTTGGTTTTTTACGAGACAGGGTTTCTCTGTATTGTTTTCTAGGCTGTCAGTCCAGCCCAGCCTCGAACTTAGCGATCTGCCTGCCTCTGTCTCCCGAGTGCTGGGATTAAAGGCGTGTGCCACCACCGCCCGGCGGTGCTGGAAATTCAATAGTCACTGAAGTCAGGGACACAGAGGGGCCATTTAAAACACACAGAACCTTCTTGCCAATAGGTATCAACAGAAAGGCTCAAGAGGCCATGTTTGACAACAGAGCAGTGCGATCCTAGAGAACATTTACAAAGTTCCGATTTCTGTACTATCTCACTGGGCAGTAGCTTTGTGCTGTCAGGGCCCACAGCATGGGGCTGGTTCACTGACCTGTCAATGCCACCTTGGGATTAGTTCCTTATAGCATATCAAAGCCTATCTTGGTCTTTGGCTCATATCTGAGCTGTCCTGTGGCCATCCATGAACACATCAGATCTTGCCTCTAGGGCCAATCTCTTATCAGAGTTGCCTAGTGGCAAACTCCTATCTACAGGCATTACATGTCTCCAAGTCACACAGTATGGTTTTTAAGTTACACAAAATGGTTTCACTTATGTTTCTACCCTTAAGTGATTGGGTACAGACTTAGAAACACCCAATGCCTACCAACCCTTACAAGGCTTGCACAGTATAAGAGACATCTATATGTAGAAAAGAGCCAGTAACAAGTGGCTCATTATACAGAAGAACTAGATAGAAGCCTATTATATATTAATTTAGCTTCTACTTCTAAAGGAAAACCTGGAGTTTCCGGTTTAGTAGAGTAAGTCTATAGTATTGATGACCAAAACATT